CCCAGCCCGACATTCCTTCCATCCAAAGGGTGTCAATCTTGTCAGCTTTGCCACAAACTCGCGAGGGAGAGGCCACCAAACATGCTTCTCGATCAATGGGCGACAGGCAAGCCACTCCGATTCATCATCTCGGACGTATGTCTGCTATCATACATAGCAGCAAGCCTACCAAGACAGAAAAGACGACCAGCACAGGAACTAAAATGCACCACCTTCATATGCATGTTCATCCTCCTAATCCGCTGAACAAGAAAACATGGACGAAACACGCTCTTCTCTTCTGTCAGAGTGTCACAGCTCCCTACAAGGATATATATTCATATACATATAGATATTGTTGTTCCGACAGAGTTGCGCGACTGCTCCAGAGGATATAAACGCGCCTATAAAAATTACCCGCAGCAGAGTAAACCAAGGCCGTTCACTTTTTTTCTAGGCTGTCTTCCCAACGTCTCTCTCACTTTTGAGCTGCTTGGGAAAAAACTAATGCTCTCTGGGCCAGTCCTCCAAGGCCCCTCCCGCTATATTTATAATTTTTAATCGTAACAATTTACTCCTGCAACAAAGTGCCACTATACTGTTCCTTGAGTAAAACCCACACAGATAGATGTCTTTCGGGACATCCGTCAAACCGCTACCGTCTTCACCCGAATCGAACACCCGGTCATTATAGCTGAATTTTATAATTTTTAATCGTAACAATTTACTCGTGCAACAAAGTGCCACTGTACTGTTCCTTTAGTAGAACTCACACAGATAGATGTCCTTCGGGACATCCGTCAAACGGCTACCGTCTTCACCCAAATAGAACGCCCGATCATTATAGCTGGATTTGGCACAACTTCCAGTCCAGATACAGCAATAATTAACGGGCGTCCTATTCGGGTGGGTGAAGACTGTAGTGTACAAGGCCCCAGCCTTGTAGAGAATTACTCGTTACCAACTCCAAAAACGCAGGAGCCAGTGCGCCGTCGATAAAATACATCAGCCGCGGTCAGCGTTGTGCTTTATTAGCCTCTGAAAGGGGCCCGTGACCGATGCATGGAAATGTTCTGGTGGTTTAAAATTAGAACACTACAGAGAAGAAGATTAGCATTGTCCCTGCCCAGGGACGTGACACGCATAAATCGAGAAATGGTCCACATGATAATAATAAAAAATAAAAAAAAGGAGCTCACAGATAAGGTGGCATGGCCCTCGCTCCACTGTTCAATGCTCTACATGTAGCTGGACTGAAATTGACACAGCATGCATTAGGACGGATGCGACTCTCGGAATGTATCGGGACAGCCTTGAGGTTCAGAAGCATTTAGAAAGTCCTGCCGTGGTGCAAGTTGCCAGCATCTTGTTCACGTGGAAGGAACCAAGACGGTCCGTCCTGGTGCACCACCAGGCTTCAACCACCAGGCTTCAACGCCACCAATAATAGAATGGTGGTCCCAGCTCCATGTTATATTCAACATGCCCACCAGAATAGCAAATTGGTCGTTAGCCAATCTGTCAGACCACAGAGCACATATGCATGTGTCCATAATAGCCACTAACGGACTGCACCCGAATGCATCTAGACCAAAAGTTACACCAAATGCAGCTACTATAATGACCAAGCGTCCTATTCGCATGAAGACGGAAGTCTATGCTGAAACCTCCGCCGAGTATCCAATAATGAAATGCGTCGGTGCGGACAATCAGCAGGGAAGACGGAAGTCAATCAGTCAATCTGTCAGATCTGACAGCAGTACAACAAAGACGACCAATACGACGAATTACTTCTTTCACTGTATCTAGACCGAAAGTTGCACCAAATGCAGCTATAATGATCAGGCATCCTATTCAGGTGACGACGGTAGACCGAGCACAAAAATCTGACAAGACAGGATTACCATCTTTTCACCAGAATGGAACACCGGGTCTGGCATTTGGACCAGATACAGCCACAATGACCAGAATGGAACACCGGGTCTGGCGTTCTATTCCGGGGGAGGATGGTCGCTTGCTGGGCTGCTCCTTCTACAGGATATTATGCAGCATACCCACAACAATTGGCCAGTAGATCTCTCGGATCTGACACGTGTCAGAAGGGACCTGTCACAAGAGTTGCCTCAGCCTCGTGTAGACATGTGCGACAGGACACTACTACAGAGCTCTCCGCCACTAGAATTGCCTCAGCCTCGCGTAGACGTGCGACAGGACACTACTACAGAACTCTGCGTCCCATACGGTATCTGTGAGGGAGGAAGGTATTAGCATTCATCATCAGACAGAGCAGCACTCACCTTTCCACAATGACAGAAACAGACTCCCCCCCCAATCTGGCCCATCACTCGGACCAAATACAGGTTGTGAAGCTGGGATACTGAGAAAACCAGACGAATACAATGCTACCGCCATCCCCGCCCGGGACACAACTCACCCTCATTTTGACTGAATCGGGCCCCAGAAACACGGCTTGTATACGTCCATTTGCAGAGTAAGTTACGTTCAGTGGAAGGCGGTATTGGGCTACGTCCTTGAAAATAACAAATGGGAAAAAGAAGAAATAAATCAAGCGGGACGTTACGGATGAGAGGATCCAACACTGCCATAATAAAAAATGCCATAATAAAAAGAAGAAATAAATCAAATGGGACGTCGTAAGGATGCGAGGTTCCATCACTGCCAGAATAATTACACATTGACATATAAGAAATATTATTCAAATATAACAATTCAGATATAATAATTCGCAAGACAACAGCACACGAGATTTCTATTCCACTATAATAATACAACCACAGGGTTTTTCTTCTTAAAAAAAAAAAAAAAAAAAAGGACACGCACGCTGCATGGGCATAGGGTTTTAGGGTAAATTAAATATGGAGTACCAAGGTTGATGGGCCTCGCTCCACTGCTCATCAAATGTGCAAATTGAGAATGAATCTTCCACTCAAACATGGAAAGGTACACCGCCATATCTTTTGTCTTTTGTATGCGGTGAGTAGTGAGCGGACCCAGGCCCTCTGCCTCAGCGCATATAAGAACTTCAGGCATTCAGATGAATCCCCAGCCATCTACATTCTATACACTGCACAAGTCTCAGGGTCTCGGCGCACGGGAAACGAGTGCATCTGCCCACGAAAGGTGGCAAAATACACTCGTTACTAATTTATAGCAAACCGATGAACCTGGCCATTTTCTGCAGGAGAAACTTCAGGCATTCAGATGAATCCCCGGCCGCCTACAGTCTATACGCTGCACAGGTCTCAGTGTCAATGCCAGCTGGTTAAAACATCGCCAACATGAAGGGCAGGGGGACTCAACCTCGTCAATCCTAACCTTTATGCGACCAGCGTGTAAAGGAGAAAATAGAGAAAATAGAGAAAATGGAGAAAATGGAGAAAATGGAGCTGCCTCACCCCTCGGGAAAAAAAGAACATGGGCGCAATCAAGGGGAACACTCGTTGGGCCCAATGGGGACAGCTTCGAGGTCAGCTGTGAGCTCGTAAATTTACGACCGAAAAGCCCAAAAGACTGTCCCGTAAATGAATGAAGAGAGAGAAGAGAGGAACCACCGCAGTCCTACAGAAAAGTGTGCTACCGTCTTCATCCGAATACACAGCCCAGTCATTATATCTCTATTTAGGCCAACTTCGACTCTAGATACAGATATAATTACCGGGCGTTCTATTCGGGCGAGGGACGAAAAATGAAAAACCCAATGGCTGCCTGATGAACGCAGAGAGAGGTGTTTGCACACCAAAAGCATACACCGGGAGTTCCGTTCCGATAGCGGCTGTCGCATCGAGACCAAGAACCTGACCGGCTTCCCCCGCTACGGTCCATTGCATGAATCACTATGCCTTCAGTGCAGTGCTCTTGATGGGTCACAGTACCATCACCCCGCGCTCCTCACTGTCACTGACCACATAGTCGAGACGAACACACGGGTAGCTATAGGACAAGCCAAGTTCTGAGCCACAGCTGCTCCACCACCGCCTGTGGAAGAGCCTTGTGAAATGACCCCGAGAATATAACAGGGAACATGGCATGGAAGCGATCCTCGTGTAATGATGACCAAGAGGGCAACAGGAGATGTGGGATAGAACGATTGCTTTCCTACATGAGCCTTCTGTAATGAACGAGAATATAGCAGGGAACATGGGGCGTGTAACGACCAAGAGCTCAACAGGAGATATGGAATAGAACGATTGCGCTCCTAGATGAGCCTTGTGTAATGACTGAGAATATAACAGGGAACATGTCATGGAAACGATCCTCGTGTAATGACCAAGAGTGCAACAGGAGTTATGGGATACAACGATTGCAATCCTAGGAGGCGGGATAAATAAGGTGCTGAGCAGACAAGGGACGAAGACGGGTGATAAATGGAAAAAGCAGGCTCACGGAAGGGGGGATAAATAAGGGTTCCGAAGCCGAAGAGGGAGGGGGTGATCGACGAATGGGAGCAGCCAGCAGCAGCCTATATCCCAGATTTTGTGCTTACCTTCCAGAGGTTTCGCGGCTCGTGGACGACGCTTCGATCATTCGTTCCTTGCTGCCAAGGCTGCAAACACATGAATGGATGAACGTGAGGGTGATGACATAATCCAAGGCAAAGGCAAGCACAAAGACAACGAGGACAGAACAGCTCATTGTTTAATGAGCGTCATTCTTAACCACGCCAGGAGTTAAAGAAAAAAAAAAAAAACACTGAGTCAATCAATCCAGCCATCAACGAACCACTCGCACCAAACCAATCAATCACTTGTAGGTTCATTCAACCCGTCACACAACGCGCAAAGCATTCGCCACGCATGAGCATTCAGCAACCAATATATTGACAAAAGAACCCCCCTTTTAACCCCCTTTAAACCCCCTTTTTAACCACACACACTTAACCTACCAATCAAACCCTTCATTTGGCTACCAAAAAAGGATACCAACGAATCCGCCTACCGATCGCTCAGCCATTCACACAACACAAACCAACATACCCACCAATTGATAATTTGCCTGCTCAATCTATACCAGCAAAAGCAACCGAGCAGCAGCAAGACGATCAGACCAAAGCCAGACAACCAAAAAGGAAGACAGGCGGCCATGGGCGTAACACAAACCCCATGAATAAAATGCCTCGACACGTCGAATCTGGTTCTTCTCTAATCCAGACCAAACGAAACCAAAATAGATCAAACCTCTTTACCGAAAAATCCGTAGACTCAAATCTGTAGAGCACCTCCATAAACCGATTTACGATCGTTAAGTACCTCTCATGGAGAGCTTTCGTAATACTTCGATTCGCACTATACCGTGACAGCGTGGGTCTCAACAACGACGCAGGGAAAGGGGTTCTGCAGCATCCTAGACGACCGCCGCAAAGGCCTGCCACCTCAGGTCACGCATCTTCTCTCGCTATTCCGACACTCCATCTTTTCCGTTCACTGAGTTAAAGAGTGGATGACACAGGTTAGGCGTCACGATGGCAGTGCCTCCTCCTCCTCCTCCACGCCCCCCACCACCCCGCGCCCCCCGCCCCTCCGCGAATCGAACCGTATTCTTCCTTTCTCGATACGCTCTCAAACCAGCTTTCGACCGAGCAGAGCAAACCTCCTGATCGGGCTGAGCGTGGACCCTACTCAGTCCCAAGAGTCGATAGAGAGGAGAAGAGAGAGGTAGGGAGAATGGATAGAAAAAGACGCGCATAAAGTGCATTGATAATAGAGATCGTGAGGACGACGAGGAGCACGGGAAGAAGGAGAAAACGGAAGGGGGAGGAGAGCAACCAAAAAAGCGGAAGCAAGAGCACAAGGGACAACCCTAAACGGATTGCATGGCGCCGAAAGACGACGGAAGCAAAAGCGCTTGCATACCGCCATAGCAACGAGCTCCACTCATTACGAACTTCCAAGAACAATTCTGCCCGTGTACGAAAATAGTACGGACATCGACAACTGATGCGAAAACGCAGACGAAAAAAAGAAACCTTCATATCACCTCAGTCACACGAAAGAACACCTTCCGTCTCTCCCGTCTCCTCCCTCGCTTTTTCCAGCCCACATACCTCTCTCTCTCTCTCTCTTCCATGCCAAAAGTCCCTCTCTCTCTCTCCTCCATGCCAAACGTCCACCCTCCATGCCAAAAGTCCCTCTCTCTCTCCTCCATGCCAAACGTCCACCTCTCTCTCTCTCTCTCTCCACCCCTCCTGCCAAAAGTCCACCTCTCTCTCTCTCTCTCTCTCTCTCTCTCTCTCTCCCCCCCCCCTGCGTGCCTGCGAAAAGTCCACGATTAGGGTTACCGTGAAAGAAGAATTGAAAGCGGACTGCACACAAGCGAGAAGGAAAGAGAGGTGGACAAGAGAGTGAATGCGCGCTACCGCGGAAAGGCGACCACAGGCGCCGCCCGGCGGGGCCCTAATTAAGGGAAAGCCTTCGTGACAGGTAGTACCCTGTCACCGTCACAAAAGCGCCGCGACGTAAGCGAATGGTCATCGGCATAACAACTTGGGGAGAGAGAGAGAGAGAGCAGGAGTTTATTACAGACGCAATGGAACCGACACAAGTTGTGCATATAAATAGCCGGAAGAAAAAACGAACATAAACTTTGCTGCCTGATGAACCGATGGACGAATGGTGGATGAATGGATAACCTGCCTGTCCACGAGCACACAACAAACAAACCCCGTTCTCTCCTGTCTCCCTCCGCCACTCAACTTTCCCTTCCATTCCACCCCCCCCCTCACCCTCTGCGGGGCCTCCGGCTTGATGCAGACGACTGCCGATGCGGCAATCATATCATCACTCATATAAATAACAATAATGAAGTTGCGCACAAAAGCGAGCACGCTTCAGCCCTATCCTTGAGAGACATTCATCCCGGAGCAGCAGAAGACTCCCTGGTAATCAAACAGACAGACTGTCAAAGCAGAGGGATGAAATTTTCCTTCCATGTGACTAGCCACACACCCATACCCTCACCCCTTGCCGTTGGAAAGGGGGAAGACGGCAACAGTGGTGTCCATCTCTCCTGAATTCCCCTCCTCCACGTCTTCCTCGTTGGCAATGGCAGTGATCCGCTCGGGGGAAGAATCCGTTCCATCCTCATCAGGCGGCGGCGTTATTACCCTTTCTCCCCGCTCTTCCTCGAGCTCTTCACTGTCCAACCCGCTTGCCTCCCTCCCCTCTCCCTCCCCTTCCAGGGAGGCAACGTCGTCGACCTCCTCCTCCTCTCCCGCTTCTCCCACGGCGTCATCAATATCAACATCCACATCATCGCCCTCTGCGTCGCTGGCATCATCCTTCCCAACTCTCTTGTAGAAAAGCATGTACGCTGCTGGCGACTTGACATCCTCCTCCCTCATCGGCGAAACGTAGCTGTCATCGAAGTTGTACCACAGATCATCGTTCACTAGTTTCGCATAGGCAGTGTAATGACCCCCTCCCATCCCCCCGTAGTGATTACTGACAGCATACAGATCATACAGACAGGACGATTTCTCCCCCCTCTGTTTCGTTCCACCATTTCTCCTCCTCTTCCTGGTGACGTATTGCCTAACATCCAGTCCTCTTATCGGAAAATCGACGAAGGTCTCGAGCTTCCTCTTCCACCAATGGGAGAAGGAAAACCGCTTCAAGTGCACGACCAGAATATCCGGCATTCTCCACAGGTCCAGTTTCTTAGTCGCTTGGCGGTGCTCCTTGCAACGAGGGCAATACCACATGTCATCTTTCCCGAGAGACTCCTTGGAAAGAAACGCCTCCAAACAAGAATACAACGAAAGCGATTCCTGCCGTGCCCTCTTGGCCAAAGACGGACCTCCTACCCTTAACCTCTCCGAAATTAGCTCTAGCACTTGAAGGTCGTACTCCTCACGACCGGTCGGTGGCGGCGACGCCCACTCCAATGCCACACACCTCCACCCGCAGCTGCGGACCACCCAATTGCGCGGCAGAGGCTTGTCCAACTCCACGACACCTTCCCTGTGAAGACCTCTGTCATCCATACACGACACCAGGAACGGACACTCATCCTCCTCGCCGGACGAATCTTCTTCCTCCTCCCTCTCCTCCACTTCACCATCATCGTTCGCGTCCTCACGTCTCACCATAGCCATTCCTTTATCAGCAACCACTTCTGTCATCTCCACCTCAGCTCCGGGTACGACGCCACTCACCTCCGACATCACGTCCCCATTGTCGTAATCGCCGTCATTCTCCATGTCGACTCTTCCTCCTCCTTTTCCTCCTTTACCTCCTCCTCCTCCTAGACCCTTCGACGTCCATCTCTTTTCCCCGTCGTCGCAATCCTGCTGCCTTCTCTCTGCTGAACTCCCCTCATTTCCCCCCGCCGTTGGACCGTCCACCTGCACACCATCCTCCCCATCCTCCATAGATATATCAGTCGTTCCATCAGTGCCATTCGTCTCGGCACTCTCGAAATCAACGCTCGTCGACGGCACTGCATCTCCGTTCGCCGCCGCCCCTCCCACACGCATCGAATCGCCAGGCGAAGGGCCGCCGCGCTTCCCATTAACCGACGGCCGCCGCCCATCCTCCTCCTCTCTCTCCTGCACCTGCTTTTTCCTCCCAGGCATCCGCCTACTCTCTTCTGCGGCACCTCCAGCGCCAAACCCGTTCTCGAGGTCGCCCCTCCTTCGTTGCATCGGTCTCAGCGCCGCCTTCACCACTTGTACCACCTCCTTCGCGGACGTCACACCCCCTTCTGGTGCAATACCTAGTAGAGGAACGCCGAACATCCTCCAGTCGCCTTTGTACATCCCCTCCTCTCTCCTGTTCAAAATCATCACGAGCCGCGACCTCGGCACCGAGCAAGGCACACGATAAGCCACCAAAGGTTCTTCATCCTTGATTGTGCCGATGGATTCTTGGAGCATGAAGTCGAGCGGTCTCAAGATCCGCCCCTGCTGCAGCTGAACGAGTGCCATACGTTCGGTCTCCCTGTCGAGGTCGCAGGCCTTGGCCACCGCCTCCAGGAGGTCCTCCACCGTCCCCTGCTTTGGCACAGAGACTGTGTACGTATCCGGGTCCACACTGCCGTCCGCACTCAGCACTGCCACCATCATCGATCTCGACGTCTTCGCAGGCAGCGGCAGAGAAAGGTACATGAAGGGATCGAACGTCACAGAGGTTTTGCCACAAGTGGGGCAGACAAGAGTGGACTTGTACTGGCCCTGACAGATGTCGACCACAATAGAGTCGTTCCTGGCCTTGTGATTTGCCCAGGCTTCGATGGCAACCTTCTCGTCCGGACGTCCGTCGGCATCCTTCTGCTCTATGTAAGGCTTGTCACGAACGCGATTCAAGTCCTCGTGAAGACCGTTCAGCAGGAAAGCGAGCAGCTCCTGCGAATCGTGCTGATTGTACCCGCTGAATTGCGGAGCAAAGCGCGCCAGCGTCCCCTTGAAATGCCGCGGGGCAACGGGAGACTTGCCTACCAAAATCATCTCCCGAAGCAGCTCCCCAAAAGCACGCGCAATCTCCCCCCTCATGCCCAGGGGATTCTCAAGGTTGATCTCGCGCACATAGTCGCTCAAGAAATACTCCACCAGCTGCGGCGTGTGGGCCAAACACTGCAGCGCACTGTTCATAAAGCACGTATTACCTAGATTCTGCAGACCGGTCAACCCCCCTCTCCCACCGGCGCTACCTCCCCCCCCGCCCCCTCCATCCCTCCATCCCAATCTCGCCATCACGCCTGTCCTAAAGAACCCCCCGCCACTGGTGCTGACCCCGCTTCCAGTACCATTGTTATTGCCAATCGCCGCTAACGCTCTCGTCTCCACTGCATCGCCCCCTCCAGCCCCTACCTTCGAACGACTGGAAGCGCCCAAGTCAAGACCGGAGGAGGAGGAAGAGGACGGCGCAATGTTGTCTGCGGAGGTTGGCTGACTTCTATTCAACGAGTTGTTGGCTTGATCTTGCCGTTGCGGCGACAGAAGTCCGTTGCTGGGAGGGGAGGAGAGGGATCCCGACCTCGTCGCAGGCAAAATGCTTCCGTTGCTGTAGGAAGACGGCAAGGACGACGACTGCGCGGAGATACCCAGCTGCTTCTGCTCCGCCAACGCAGCTGAGGACGAAGTCTGAGAATCGTGCGCGGACGTAAGACCGGCTGCCCTCCTCGACTCTTGGCCTTCCCCCCTTAGATCTCCCTCCCTCGCCGTCTCTCCCAGCACGTCATCCTCGACAATATCCGAGGTCATCGCCATTCTCGAGGCCGTGACGGACGCTGACGTCAACCGATGAGATACATAGGTGGATGCCGACCCTTCGGAGATCAACGCAGCGCCGGTGGACAACGAGGAGGAGGAGGTAATCGCGGAGGACAGGGAAGCGCCGGGCGACGGCGAGGAGGAAGAGGTGGAAGCGAACGAGTCCTGCTCTGCATCCCCTCCTCGGCATCTTCCCTCTGATTCCACAAGAACCTTCTGGAGATCCTGGATTTCATAGTCTTCAAGCGTCCGTACGGCATCCGTAAGCTTTTTCTGCTTCTTCTCGTTGAAAAAGTCCCAGAGACAGAAGGATTTTCCTTCCATGTTCAACAAGTCGGCCACTCTTTGCTTGAGCTCCCCCACAGTGGCCTTTCTGCTAATAATTAGCTCCTCACAGATGCCGGACTGAGACCGCACGATCTGCACGCGAAGAGGATGCAGCTCCACGATCAGCTGCCGACAGCTCTCTTCCCCCTGGGCAATGACTTTGCGTGGGAGAGCAGGGCCACCGCTGTACCACCTCACCAAGCGATCCCATACCGCCTCAGGAACGAGACAGAAGTCCACTTGTTCCTCCAATCCTCTCTTCAAATGGGCGAAGTTCGACTTGTTCTCCCCACCTTGCGCAATTTTGTTGTTGTCAATGACGCCCGGTTTGCCATTAAAGTAAGAAATCTTAGTCTTCTTCGAGTCCTTGGAACCCACATACTCCATCCATTGCTGCCACCACTCCGCAGATATTACGTAGTAGGTATCACCCTCCTTACGGCGATAATTACTCTCATCTAGGAGTTTTTCCAGCTCCTCCTTCTCTTGACTTGGGGACCGGTCAAAAGAACAAACGCTATCGCTCAGGTGATTCATTTCGCTGCGGCGGACTGTCTACCAACCCGCTCGCTTCCTTCGATAGCGATATAGCAGCATAACCCTCTTCCTTTCTCCCCTTCCCTTCCGTTTCTCGAGACAACCTATCTGCTTCCCTTCGGGCAGCTGCTGCCGCTGGTTCAACTCCCTCCCACTCTGTCAAACCCGAAATCTACGTCGCCGAATCCAGAACATTCCTCACAACTATGCGTGTGCGTTGTGCGCAACGCGTGCACGCAGTCTCCCTAGCTCACAGACCGCAAGCGCATGCACGAATCGAAAACAGAAATTGTTAAACTCATCACTGATAATTCAATGAATTGCCACACTTTTTTTTCTTTCGTGGATCGCCAACGTATCACCCGCTGCAAATCTTATACCTATCCGTCCATCCATCTACTCCCTACCTCTTGTTCGAGTGCTTATCTAGAACAAGCGAACAAGATCTGAGACTCACAAATCCAGGAACACATGCACCCGCAAACCTTGCACACGTTAAACCCGCCAGCACTCTCTCTCTCTCTCTCTCTCTCTCTCTCTCTCTCTCTCTCTCTCTCTTACACACACACACACACACACCACCTCTATCTCTCTCACACACGCACGGAGCCTTCGGGCAATTAGTTCGCTGCACGGCAATAAATTTGCTGAGGGCCGTTCAGCTCTGCCCTTTCCCTACCCTATTGTCTGCATGTAAGATGCGGCGAATGGTTGGCTCACATAGAACCAACTCCCCCCACGCACTTGATCTGCGAATAACACATGAGGGTTGTCAATCCCATAAAAGAATACAAGATCGAAGTTAAGCCGCAGAGACTCGAGCGCACAAGCGTGCATGGGGGGATACGCCACCTCGCTCTAGTTAGCAAAGAGTCATGGCACATACAGGAACCCACGCAAGCGTAGTGTTGCTGTAGGCATACGTGTGCAAGCAATACACAGGAGATTACTCCGGACCAACTGAAGGTGAGCAATCTCGTCCTGTGAGCTTTCATCAAGTTGCGTGCTGAGCCCCCATCATCCGCGTTTCGCGCACCGTGGGTGCTGCTTCCTGCCGTCAAGCTCTCCGTATGAAGAACCGCAGGCCTGTTTGCAGAGCAGTAGTTCGCGCATGCAAACTCTTTCCCCCTGACGAGTCGTCGTTGATCCCACCACCACCGATTTGAATACCAACCCTTTCCCAATCCCGACTACCGTTCTGACGCCCGATCCTCTTCTCCAAACTCGACCTCGAGCACAGCGCGCAAGCTTGTCCCTCTCCTCAGCACAGAGAAATGAGAGAACGAAGGGAATCAGAAATCGAAAGTCGCGCCCGCGTAAGATGATTGCTTGCTACAATTAATTAATTCATCATCTCGTCCGTGTCATACTTCGCCGCCCCTTCTGAGCACATACTATCTTCTTTTCTTCTCCGCCTCCCTTGCTCGCTCAGTTGCCTACCTTCGACCATCTATCTATCTGTCTGTCTATCCTGTAAATTTCTGTACGAATTGTATAATGAAGAAAGACGCTCGCCGAGAAGTAAACGCACGTGCATAATATAAATCAAAACAAAAGCGCACAGACAGCACCGCCGGAGCTCTGTCTAATTTAATTTGCTCCACCTCAGGCGTCGAGAAGTTTCCGGGGCGTAGGCTGCATCTTACTGTTCCACGTGTCTCAACCTCTTCCTTCCACGTGTCTCAAGCTCTTCCTTGTGCCCCTCGTACACCCCCCGACAATTGACCACCAGCATAGCATGACTCTTCTGCGAAGCAACTGATGATTGTCATTCAACTCCTTGCTTCCGTAGATACGGAACGTATTGCTGTCGACATTCAAAAACGAAGTGCACGTCCTCAAGAGGAACGTATTGCTGTCGACATTCAAAAACGAAGTGCACGTCCTCAAGAGCGGGAGCGGCGGCAGCGGGATTCGGCGGCAGCGCAGCGGCAGCGGCAGCAGCGGCAGCAGCAGCAGCAGCAGTAGCAACAATGAAGGTCCTCCACGACCCCAACAGGAAGTCGCGCAGTTACGAATATTTGCCACACGAGGAATCTGGACACAGGTGCCTGCAGCTCGTCAGCGAATATAGAACGCCTCATCCCTCCTTCCCTCCTTCCTCCGGCCTAACTCTTCATTGGCCTTCGTCATAATCAACCTGCGCACAGTCAAATGCCCGGACCCGACCCGACCGACCCGACGCTTCCGAGCCGATAGCAACCCCCGCCCACAGTGCCTGCCAGGGAGGCAACAGCGCGACCGAGATGTCCGTCGCACAATGTGACACGGCACCGCGGCCGAAGATGGCTATGAAAAGGAAGGCGGTTCTCTGCGGGTTGTGTTGCCGGCTGCCCAGCGCTACCGTAGGCGGTCCTGACCCCAGATGAAGAGTACGCGTGGAGACCCCGAGCTGGCAACACCCTGCTGTTGCCTCAGGTCCTTTGGTGGAGGAAGAGAGAGGGAAATGAAGAAACAACAGTGCACTTGCTCCTCACTTGATAGATCATGCAGTCCCGGGCTCCCTAATCCCTGCACCCCTTTCGGCAGGACCACCGCGCCTTTTCCACACGTGAAAACGAGGACTAAAAACCCCGCACTACTGTTGTTTGGGATGCACTCTCAGCTGGGTTTTTCCCTCGAAAACGCCGGAGGGCTGCGCCGTACACCACTGCGTTAGTTAGGTACCAACTGTATTCTGACTTTGATCGAACCCGGCCGACAAACCGCTCAGGTTCACGCGCTCGAAGTCCAATCAGAGCACCGCGACTTCGATGACTCTCGAATGAATATGGGCGCATCGTACGACCTTGTTCGGTCTAATTAATCCATTTTGAAACTGTTGAACAACAGAGGAAAAAGGGTCCAGACGTCCACGTGCCTCGCCTTCCTTTCGAAAGACATCATGATGGCGCCGGATGGTGGGCGAGGTCGCCCGTAAGGTAGGAGTGAATGTATCAGACAGTAACTAAAGCGGGATGAGCTGAAAAGTCCTCGTGTGAACAATCTACGGCTGTTGGCCGAGAGGCCAGGAAAGACGTTGACAGATCAAATCCCAGCCTTTTGAGTAATCCCGCCAGAATTCCAGATTCCTCAAAGACTGTCCCCTCGATTGATTACGGATTGCCTTACAAACTGCCCCTCGCACCATCATGGGGGTGGAGGCTCATGGCACCGGATAAGGGCGACCCCGAAGAGGCCAGTATCACGCCCGGTGGTAGCCCGGTTCTGTTTTCTTTTGTGTTGGGAAAAAAACAGGGAAACAGGGGGAGCGCCGGTACTGGGCAAGTAGCATCGCGCTCCCGTAGTGGTGTCACTCCGCTACAGTGCGTAGCGTTGTTCGACTGTCCCCTCTGCCGCCATGATGGAGAACGCTGTAGGGATATGCTCGTTCCGAACCGAGAGCAGAGGCTTGCCCTCGTGCATCCTTGTGAACAGTTGCAGAAACTTCAGGTAGGATAGGGCAACGCGTCATCATCTAACATCTACCTAATTGACGATGAACTGTTAATCAAGGGAGACCGACACCGCTTAGGTGTTGTCATCATCCTCGCGATCAAAGGACTCTTGGGCTCCTTATGTGCTGACATCATCAGAAAACTTCAAGTAGGGTAGAATGTTACGCCATCATATGTCATTTACTCAGTTGAAGGTGATCTCTCAATTAAACCACCAGTACCTTTCCCAGCCAAAACGCCGAGACGTGTTGGTTAACACACAGGCCGCACTCGGCCTCAAGCGGCGGCCAGATGCGTCATAGAAACTCAGCGCGCAGCGCCCACGACCCATAGCTAGGAAAGGTACTGGCAGTTTAAAGGAAGGTCTGATCTTTATAGATGTTGCTGACATTGCGGCAACTCATACATAGAAGTTATTTGTGTTCCCGAGGCACGTCGCCCTCAAGGGCATCCACACTTTCACTCTTGGTGCTCGCGACTTTATCACTGAAAGCAGCATGTACATACGGGGGAATTCTTGCTAAGAACAGAAGGAATTGGAAGGGGGAGTAGGCTCAGGACCTCTGGCCTGACATATACCTCCGATGGCTCGTGTTGCTCAAGGATTAGAGGTGGGGGTGCATGAATCCATTAGTCGATGGCACGATGAAGGTGTATGTCCTTACGATCTAGATATATGTGAAGTGATTGAGGATGCAGAGGGGAGGAGATTTTTAGTAAATGAGATGGTGGATAGTATTAGGGAACACTGATTGAAAGAACATATTGTTATCACAGTGTTTTAAGACGAAGCAAAAAAAAATCAAGACAAGAAAAGGAAGACATGATCTGGGTGCATCACGATGGGTAGCTGTCTCGACGGATTTTTAATCCACATACTAAAAGAGGGAGAATTCGATTCGAGGGGCCAAACATAATATCTTATGTGGCAAAAGCACAGGAAGCGGTAGAGCGACTAATAAGGAAGTGGGAGGAGGAATACCTAACCGTGACGGTTTCTAAACTGTGGATGCCTCGTCAGGAGCATAAAGATACAAGGTTACAAGAAGCGGAGACCAACTTATGGATTATCGCTCTTTGTGTTCAACTGGACACCTACGATTTCCTTGAGGGCGCTTTCAGAAACTTCTTTGGAGAAGTGCTCCAAATGCACTCACCAGAGTTCGATAAAACCCGTCCCAAGCTAATGGACATTGAGTTGGGACGAGGAGGTAGCGCACAATCAACAGAGGGTCTGGCATAGAGAAAGAGTCAGCCAACATAAAGGCGGTCAAATGCCAAAAGCGAGTTACCCGGATGACGACGGCTAGGACCCGTACTTTACGAGTTACACAACCATTTCAGTCATGTCACTCGCCAATCTCGTGCTCAGAGCGACCTTCTTCCAATATAACTTGACGTCAATCAAGAACAACCATTATCAATATTGCGGTTCAAAGACCTCCCAAACATGAGAGATTCGCTAACCCAGAATTACAAGGCAGAGGGCATCATCAACTTTATCCCTCACTCATGCTACCCTATACCAATCGAAGTGATTGGTTAGATGATCGAATCCTAAAGGAATATGCGCAATAGAGAGGTGATAGAGAAACTTAAGGGAATCTGAGGGGGGATAAAGGTTTCATCAGAAGGGATCAGTTGCAATGATATCTTGATTGTTTGGATTGTCAAACACTCTTTCACCGACCTTTGGCTCCTCCATTAACACAAAACTTCCAACTTCAGTATTTGACAGATGAGGAAAGATACAGTCCACTGGAGGAAACCGCTCCGCCACCCTCATACTCCCTCTAACCATTATATTTGAGATATCCAAAATCACATTATCAAATAATCTCCTACCATTAGAGACTAGTCATGGCGTTAACCCTTTTACGCTTCACTCCACCGTATTGGTGGCTAGCCACGCTTGTTAAGTTATAATAAAGACATATTTCATTACTTGATTATAACTTAACAAGCGTGGCTAGCCACCAATACGGTGGAGTGAGGTGTAAAAGGATCGACGTCACATAACGAGCTTAGATGGAGGAAAAGGGTAAAAAGCAAAGGAGTGTTAGAGGCTGGGCGAGGAAGATGTTGAAGAAAGAGAGCATACAAAAGGACCGATATAAGCGACTTATGATGAGTTTTTCGTAATATTTGTGTGGAGGAAATAACTTGTTTCTTCTAGCCTGATGTTGCACATCCCAAAGATTGACAACTTAATTGTGGTTGGTCACTGCAACCTATCTTTAAACCAAGCTTTGAAACCAGGATCACACACTGCAAAGAGGACATATGTTAAAATTTTGTTGAATCTCCTAACAAAGTTGAATCGTGTGGATTTTTTCCGTCGTCCCTTGCCTGACGAACCTAGTTCGATGCAGATGTTACACATTCATCGAGATAGAGGGTCGGTGATTAAGGAAAGACTTGATTATTTTGTTGTGGCAGATCCAGTCTTAGAAGGATTTACTGATGTGAATCGAATTTACAACCCTTCTCATGTCATAAACCAGTGATAGCCGAAATTAAACTGCACTCAAACTCTGTGAAGGGGCGTGTTTGTTTGAAACTGGATCCGTAAAACTTGGAAGACCCAATGTTAGCGAAGTGAGTGAGTCAACATATGAGCGAGTGGGAGGATGCTAAATTAATGTTTCCCATAAAGGAGGACGGGTTAAGCGCCAAAATTATTATCTTTTCAAAGGTACTCAACGTCTGTTCAAGGATATTGGATTAAAAAAAACAAAAAGAAAGCAAAATGGAGACACCGAGTGGAAAAAGTCGAAGGAAGGATGAAAAAACACCCTATCTCAGTACTGGCTATGGCAGGAGAGATATATAAAATTAGCGGAGTGTGATAACCTGCAAGTCGAGAAAGAAAAAAGATCGATGAAAATCTTGGAAAAAAAGGGGATTGAGATCACCGATAAGACAACAAAAGAAACTCTTAAAAAATTACATTTGAAATAATCGCAACAAAATATGGTGAATTGAAGCACCCCTTTAATGACGCAACTCCAATTGCCTCCTCAATGGCATAAATGCTTGAAAATGCAAAATCATACTTCGAAAGCATTCTCACCACGAGGTGCTCGAAAGAACCGGTATACATAAATATAACAGAAATCCAAGATTTATGGGATCACACTCAAGTGAGGGGATCAATGCCTTCAGACCTTGACCTCGACTAGCCAATGACACTCGAAGAAACTGCTCAGACGTTCAAGTCGATGGCTAAGGGAAAATTTACAAGCATAGACAGTCTAATGATTAAGTTATATTCCATGAACTGGGGGGTATTTGGCCCAACAATGATGGAGGTGTATAAAGAGGTGTTGGTGGGAGGTAAGCTA